CCATACATTTATCCACTTTACTACGCAGTTCTGGAAACCATTTTTTATATAATGTCTTTAAGGGTTTTCATAATTTCACAGCTTCCACTGGTCATTGATGGTTAATGAATAACTAATAAAGAAAGGCATAACAAAAAGGCAGATTGAGGTACCATTGCTAATGTTTTCTCAACCTGCATATATTTATCTGTTCCTGAATGAGAAAAATTGAAAAATGAAAGGTTTTAATAATCAAGAAAAGTAAAAGCTGCATCAACAAGAGCCTGAAAGTTATCACAAAAAATAACTACCAGGACTACTTTGACTTTGACACACATTATGAACTCTGGCAAGAGTGAGCAGCTACAATAGGATCTTATTTTGACACTGATGCCTGCAATAAGATGATGCTTTTGTTTGAAAATTCCAATCTTCCCTCATATATTCCAAAAATATTTTTCTATATTTCTCTTCAAGCATTCACAGAACATTCACTGATACTAGTATAGAGTGCAATTTAACAAAGAAGGCCTTGATCTTTTAAACACTGTATCTACATCTGTAGGGACACTTATGAGTTGGTACAGCCAGAGATTTACCAACCTCTAAGTTCAATGAATTTATGACCAATGTGGAAAGTAACTGCATTATTTAAACATGAATGCACTATCTGCTGTACCTGACAATGCTTGAGTTATCTTAACAACCTCACACAAATTTGAAAACTATAAATGGTTTTGTTAGTTGATGAGTATATGCTTTTAATAATTACTCCTGTTGTAGTGTCAATGAATTTTGTCATTGGTTTTTTTCTAATCCTCTCTTAATTAAATCATTTTTGTTTTTTTTTATGTATCTTTGTATACTTATTTCATTGTATTTTACAGAAATATTTGCAAAGGTTAAAACATTTCTCTCAAATGATCAAGAAAGTAAATCTTAGAGTAATCTGTAACAAAACAATTTAAAGTTATATATTTTAAGAGGAAATAATTATGTTCCAAAGAAAGATTGAAAATAGATGGGAAATAATAGTACAGTAGAACCTCGAAAACTCGGCCTAATGTGGACCGAAGGGTGGCCGAGTTTGTGAAAATGCCGGGTTATCGGGAACGGGGTTAAAAAGAATAAGTACGAGTGTTACTGTACTTGTATGTATTGTTTACTTGAGAATATAACAGAGAATAAACTGCCCAAATACCCTTAAACAAAGGAAAAGTACGTCCTTTATGAAGGCATAGAGCCTTTACTACATGAAAATGAAAATTAATGAATACACTGTGTACAGTAATTTACCTGATAAGACAGACCTCAGAAAAAT